TAATGAAAGCTGTGTAATGAAAGTATTGTTCCTTGTTAGAGTGTGCTAATTTCAACATTATTATTACTACTACTACTACTACTAGTATGGTTCAGTACTGTTTTTTTAATAAAACATTATTTTAGTTTTTGTTCAGTATCCATTTTAAAAACTATCGGTTAATTAATCGGTATCGGCCAGTGTGGTCCAACCTAGCTATCGGTATCGGCAAAATCCACTATCGGTCGACCTCTTATATCTTATATATATATATAAATGTATTTTATTTTCTCAAAGTCACTGTTTAATGTTTTAATAAATGTGATAATCAAAAAGGATTTATAATCAAATTATTTCATAAAACCTAAACAAATTAACAATTTATTAAAGTTTTAACAATAGTAATGCCCTATGAATTTTTTTTTGTAGAAATTGTTGTCTTTTTTAATTTTCCTAGATTCAGTGTGTTATGATTTAATAATTTCTTTCAATCAAAAATGTGAAGTGCACTCTCAGAGCAGCAGAAGTTCAAATGGCGAGATGGCAGACGCTGAAGATACCATCAGTCATGCTTGAGTGTGTAGTAGATGAAACTGCACTGCGCTGCTCTGTCACACAAAGACATGCCGATCAACTAGCAGTCTTTTTGTGGTTTCATTTTCATAGACACTAGTCCATTGCGGTTTTATCCAATATGCAGCCTTTTCTTGTATTCTTCCAAATTTTGCCAAATTCTTTGACGTTCCACTTAAGAAGGTAGATTCCATATTTATGACTAGATTCTGCCATTCCAACCATGTTTTCCACTTCACAGAAAATGTCAAATCACCTTTATTTATATAGCGCTTTATGCAATGCAGATTGTTTTAAATCAGCTGTTTCAAAACAAATTATAGGGCCCTAGTTTTGTTTACTCACTCATAGTGTTCCAAACCTTTATGACTTTTCTGTCTTAATTGGAAACCAAAAGTTATTTTGCCTAATGTTGCTTATTTCCACAAATGAAATTTAAGTCGTTTTTCCCTGAAAAACTCTCCCGCTGGTTTAGCTCTAAAAATCTTATTCACATATATTTATTCAAGAACCAGTGTCATTTGAAATCATTGACATCAAACCTGACCATAGCTAAGGTTTATCCAAAAAAAGTCGCTAGGTTTGTCAGTATATATATTCTATGGAAAAAAAGCCGCTAAAATGGTCTGGAAGTTGCTAAATCTAGTGCTAAAGCGTTGCGCATACACCGGTATTGCGGTGTTTTAAAAATTCATATCATAACAAAAATAAACACCGGTATTCGGTATGAACCGGTATACCGCCCAGCACTACCTGACACTAAACATCTTCAAGCAGCATGTGTGAAATCTAATCATTGTCTCATACCAGAAAGGACTAAAAATAGGTCAATCTGCAAGTTTTTGGAATTTCAGAAATGACTTTGGGACACGTAGAAAGACAGGAAGTATAAAAGCAAATCAAACACGGTCAGTTGGCCAACTCCAGCATATGTCCTGTTAAATAGGATTCTTGAGCTTAGGTCAATGTTGCTTTTACAACAAGCAAGCGATGACACCGTGGTTATGAGTAACTGGTTGTTTATTAGCAGCTGATTCTGGGTTGTGTGTTTGATATGTAGGTGTTGTACGTCATGGAGCTGCTACAGGATCAGGAAAAAGGCTGTGCCAGCTTCACTGCAGTTTCAGAGTTTCTGCTTACACACCCTGTGCTCAGCTTTGGCGTACAGGATGTCGCCCGCGCCCGACTGCGCCACACTGAGGTCCTTCCCCCTGATGAGGAAAGCGAAAGCATGACGACAGGTCAGTTTCTTTCCATATTTTCATGCTAGCTGTGTGTGCAAATATTTATAGACTTGCTGTAAGTTGAGATGCGTTCCATTGATGCTTTCTAATATTTTTGTTTTTAATATCTTCTGACAGAAGGAAACCAGGGACCTTCCGAGTCCAAATCAGGAATCCAGATTAAGCTCTACTGTGTGCATACAAAGTGAGTTATTCGGATAAAAAAAAGCTCATGATGAAGACATGAAGTTTGCATTCAGTTCTGTGGTGTTGTAACATTCTCTTATGCCCACAGATCACTACAGGATGTGCAGATCTGGTTCCAGCCCAATCAGGGGGCCTCATCCTCCCTCTTCATGTCTCAGTCTGGGTCACAGGATGGCTTTGGTTAGTCTGGGAATGTATAATCTTACTTTTTATACATATGTTTCCTAGACTGCCACTGCTGAATCTACAGTGCTATAGCAAAAGAAATATATTTTACCCGAAGTTACAGTCTGAATGAATTGTGCTCAGAAAGAAAATGGTGTACTTGTTAATTTTAAAATTAAATGCTAAATTGCTTAAATTATATAAAATGCATTTCCCTCCCAGGTTTTTCTGACCCACTGGCTGATCTGAACGTGGAGGCAATGAGCTCTGATAAGGAGTCTGGTGATAGTGGATCACAGAATGACCTGAGTAAGATTCTGGCGCTTCCAATTCCAGCTGACTTCATGAGTCCAGCCCCATCAGCCTTGCCCAAACTCATGACCCCAGATGCCTTCATGACACCCAGCACCTCCGTGAGCTTTTAATATTACAGATTCATCATTAGGTCCCTTCAGTGAAGGTGATTATTCATCTTTGCTGTCTTGTTTTTTTCAGATGCCCGCTTCTCCTGGCAGCAGTGCAAGCAGCCTGACCATAGTAACGGCCATGAGCAGCTCGGATAGCGGTGCAAGGTGGGGGATTTAACTCATTTTTATGTCATAAATGTTCTGTTTCAAAATCCTGAAACTTTCCAGATTTTCATGAGAGAGTGTTTTGAGACTTTTGGATCCTACTGTGTGAACTACACATTTACATTTACATTTAGTCATTTAGCAGGCGCTTTTAAATGAAAGGTAGAAGGGAAACCGGTCTGTAGTTCTCTAACAGAGTTGGGTTAAGAGTGGATTTCTTAAGAAGTGGGACTACACAGTGTGTGATAAAAAATACACATCTGAGTGTAAAATGTGGGGGCCCCGTGTCCTCTCATGCACTCATAGGCATTGCTCAATTTTCTTTCTTCCAGAGGCGGAGATGATCTGGCCCAGAGCCCTAAAATGTCTGTCGAATGTGGCAACAGCAGCTTGACTCTGAGTGCCAGCGCAGGCAGTCCAAGATCCAACTCTATCCTCATCTCAGGCCTTGGGGAAAATATCCAGGTAATAATGGACATGTCAAACTGCATATAGTGATATATTGATGTCCAGTAGCACTGCCATTGTTTAGGTGTATGAAAGATGTTACTTTGCAAGATATATATTTTTAGTACTTTATTAGTACTAATTAAATTAAAATTAGTACTTTTATTCAGCAAGGATGCATTAAATCATGCATTTTGATCAAAAATGACAGTAAAGACATACTGTTACAAAAGATACAGATTTGGGTTGCATGATTTTTGTTTTTGTTTTTGAAAGAAGTCTCTTATGCTCAGCAAGGCTGCATTTATTTGCTCAAAATGCAGTAAAAAGAGTAATATTGTGAAATTATTCCAGTTTAAAATAACTTTTTTAACATGTTAATTTTTGTCGAAACCATAATGAATCTTTTTTCAGAATTCTTCCATTGTGTCTTTTGCTGTCAGTTTTGATACATTTTTATGCATTTTAGTTTCTTAAAAAAAAATCTTTCTGCCAATAAACTTTTGAACAGTAGTATAAATGCTTATGTCATTATGGTAGACATAACATGTATATCTGTATTGACTATCCATCTGAAGAAATCAGATCAGATTTCAGCACTCACCAAATTACTCATTTAACAATTCTTTTGTTCATAATGCATCCCTCCATTCACTCCTCCATTTAAAATCCCCATCCGGTTAGGGTTTTTCTCCCCCACTGATGCTCTTTCCATCCCTCCTGCGAGAGGCCTCTCTGCTCTGCGAAGCTTCTCCTTATTCACACAGACTTCCCCTTCCTTATTTCCCATCTCCTCCTCCACAGGTTTCCCCTCCAAACCTTCCTCTCTCCCTGGATCTCCAGGCCATAGACCCCATGGTTGTCCCCCAGGCCTCTCCGACCAGAGCTCGCTCTCCAGATGTCATCTCCTCTGCTTCTACGGCAATGTCCCAGGACATCCCTGAGATCGCCTCAGAGACCCTGCAGAGGGGGCTGGCCGGTTCCTCTGCTGACTCAGTCCCTGTCCTGCATTCTGACAGCATGGCATCAGTCGCATCAGTCCTCCACCTGTTGTCTCCTAGAGCCCGGAGCAGTGCTGAGCACAGTTTGCTGCCTCTCGAATTCGGTGCAGCATCTGTGGATGGAGAACAGAGACTCAATAACACACCCTCCCTGCTGGAGACGGCTCTGTCACAGGAGAACGCAGTAGCGGCTGGAGGATCCTGTTCTGACAGCAGCGTGAACCACACCTGGCCCGCAGCACCTGATATCACACGAGAAACTCGCAACAGCCACAGAGACAATGGTTTGGGAGACTGGTGAATGGCTTTTCTATTAATATAATCATTTTTATACACAACTGATGAAAAGTTTGGAATAATTGTGATTTTATGTTTTTGAAAGAAGTCTCTTATGCTTACCAAGGTTGCATTTGTGATCTTGTGAAATATTATTGCAGTTCAAAATAACTTTTTTATTGTAATATATTTTAAAATGTAATTTATTTTTGTGGTGGCAAAGCTGTATTTTCAGCAGCGATTACGCAAGTCTTCAGTGGCACATCGGCCTTCAGAAATCATTCTGATAGGCTGATTTTGGTGCTCAAGAAACATTTCTTATTATTATCAATATTGAAAGCAGTTGTGCTGCTTTATTTTTTTGTAAAAACAGGTCTTTAAAATGTTAATAATATTTCACAATATTAATATATACAAATATATGCATCCTTGGTGAGCATTTTGTGTGTGATTTGTTGATATGTTTAGTTAATATTAACATTTAGTATTGATTTATGTTCTGGGAGTTCTATGATCTGTGTGGTGTGCAGAGATATGATGAATTTTGAGCAAACGGTGATAATATTTGAAGATACAAGGCTAACACATTTGATAACTTTGTTTTGACTGTTTCCTTCCAGCTCTAGGGAGGAAATAAAGGACAGACACATTTCTTCTCCCTACCACAGGCGCACTTATCACCTGACTCAGAATGACAGTCAAGATGCAAGTGCAGAGCAGAGGTACATTTTTCATTCTGGCGTATCACTTATGCAGGTGTCTGTGCCACTTCTGTAGCTCAGGTCAAATTACTAATACTTGTTTTTAATAAGAATTTGCTCAATTTATGCTGTCCATCTTTGCATTGGCTTGTCCTGCCATGTTATACCATATTGAGGAAGCAGGAAAACTTGAAATCGCATCATATGACCCCTTTAAAATACTCAAATTCCAATTTAAGCTGTTTAATGGGAGTATTATGTGGTGTGTGGCCTAAAAACAGGATTCAAATTAACATTTGTGCCAATTGTAAAATCAGTGTCTCAACAGGTGTCTGCTAGTGCTGTTAAAAAAGAATGAATAGAGCATATATAGGCTACAATAAGGTTTAATCTGGCCACAGAGGAACACAACTGGGTTGCCTGATATAAAGAGACGTAATCCCCAAAACAGAGCTTTACACTTGCACAATACGGAAATATCTGCTAAGTGTGTTGCTTATCTTTATCAACCTGGCAACCATGTGCACGCTCTCTCTCCACTGTGGTCTAATTTTTTTTTTTTATTGTAGAGAGTGTGTGAATTTGTGCAATGATAACCTACCAGCAATGTAAATTAATTTTTAAATATATTAGAACGAGTACGTTACAATATAAATTTATTAGAACAAGTACATTATTATTTATGGGCTTAAAAACAAGATGCAAACAATCAGAATATTGTACCTGGTGGGAAGTGCACAATGTAAACATGAAACGTGCCATTACCTATATTGCACTGTGGTACAGTTATGGAGGCCCTTCATAATGCAGAGGTCAGCTGCCTGCTCTGCCAATAGTTAGAAATGGCACTATAGTAAGCAGTGTTTAATAAACAGCTGTTTTTCTAAATTCTGCTCAGGTGAAATTCAGTGCAGTCCTGTATCGTGATATGTATCGTACAGTGGCCTATGTATCGTGATACGTATCGTATCGTGACTTTGCTGGTGATACACAGCCCTAGTGTCTGCGAACTTAATTAGAAATTGCAACCATTGTTGGGTCCGAGTCCACCTTGTCGAGTCCTAGTTTTTAATCAATCAAGTTTAAGTGGGAGACGTTTATTAAGGTCTTTTTATATTAATTTTATGTTGTTACTTTTTTTATTTTATTTTATATTACACATGACATGGATTCGTCTGTACTCTGAAAAATTTCTGCGTCCAAAATATCCAAGTCCGAGTCCGTCCAAGTTCATTCACAATTGCAGTCCGAGTCCATGTACCCCAACTCTGATTGCAACTTTACATGGTTTGTCCAAATGATAGTCTGATCTTTACTGACATCACTGATGTGAGCCGTCTGCTGAAGAAAACGGTCACGACTCGGGTTTTTTTCAGTAGAAGTTCAGTGTTCTAAATGAGTTCTGAACTTAAATTGCCATGGTTACTAAACATAAGATTGGATTCTTAGTTCTAATAAAAATTCTATCATGTGGTATGTAAGATATTCTTCAAATAAAGCTACCAAAACTATAATATGGTTAACAGAATAAAAGGAGACATGTCCAATAAAATATATTTATGGCTGGTAAATTTTCTTAAGGAAAACAGTCTACAATAAAAAAAAAAATAAAATACAATTGTGAATATATAGTTAGCATCTGGGCCTAATTGTCATAATCATATTTTACAACAATTGTTTTTATGGTTGATTGATTGATTGACTTTTTAATAACTTCTCACTTTTACTATTTTTAGCTACATTATTTACATGTAAAGGTAAAAAAAAACAAAAAAAAAAACTTGCACTACTGTTCAAAAGTTCGGGGATAGTAAGAAGTCTCTTATTCTAAGCAAGGCTACATTTATGTGATCAAAACACAGTAATATTGTGAAATTATTACAGTTTAAAATCATTTTCTTATCATTTGTTTAATGTTTTTTAAAATCTAATTTATTTCTGTGATGGCAAAGCTGAATTTTCAGTAGCCATTACTCCAGTCTTCAGTGTCACATGATCCTTCACAAGTCATTCTTATATTCCGATTTGGTGTTCAAAAGACATTTATCAATGTTGAAAACAATTGTGCTGCATAATCCACATTTTGGAAACAGTGATAAATGTTTTTCAGGTTTCTTTGAATATAAAATTCAGAAGAACAGCATCTGTGACAATATAAAAATCTTAACAGTCACTTTGGATCAGTAATACATCCTTGCTGAATAAAAGTAACTGCTTTTAAAAGCAATTGTGTGTATATATTGAAAACTTATTTACTCCTTCCTCACGTCTGCATATCTGAGCATGTCCGAACAAGTCTGAGCATGACTCAAGATGATGTAAATATGCAAATTAAGGGCCGTGTCTAGGGGGTTTCAGACACCTGTAGTGTCAGTTCAATACCTTAATGATAATTGTGCTGATCTTTTGTCTTTTCCATTTATTTTCTCTTCGTACTGTGATGGACAGTGATCATGATGATGAGGTTGCCAGTCTGGCCTCTTCCTCGGGGAACTGTGACCCTCGCTCCTCTCACAGACTTCCCGTAAAGGACTGGAAAACATCTCCCCGCAGCTCCCCTAAGCTCAAGAGGAAGAGCAAGAAGGATGAAGGGTGAGTGACCTGCCCTCCTTACTATGGATATCTTCCTGATATTAATGTTTATATTGTTTAATATGATATTGAACGGTGAGCCCCTTCAGCCATATAATCTGATTGTGTGACTGATTAGATCATCTTTGTTTTTTTCCCAACCCAGAGAGTCCTCACAGTCTAGACAGATTGAGAACCAGGTAAGTCTGTTGATCCCCTGCATCACGATCCGAATGCATTTCTTAGAATTTGTATTGTGTAAACCCAATGAAAATGCACGAAGTCTTGTTTTCTGTCCAGTCACTGTGATTCATAATATAAATAAAACATTAATGCAGTGGAGACAGAAACCAATGAATAACATGGCAAGCTCGGTTGTATGAATGCTCTGCTGTGACTGCTATGAGTCTTACAACTGTGCTGACGTCACTCAAGCATACCCGGGAGTCCTTGAGCTTCACAAGTGAGGAATGAATGAGCTGTTGTGTCCTCAGATGAGCACAGAGGTGCAGGATGAGCTTCTGCAGATGTTACGAAGCCAGCAAAGGGAGATCGCGGAGCTGAGACAGAACCAGCTGGACCTTCTGCAGAGAGTCACCAGTCACATGGACGCTGTACAGAGCTCCATCATGGCTCACATTGAGCATGCCATGTTGGCTCAGCAGGAGCAAGAACGTATCCTTCCACTAGGGGGAGACTTGTAGCTAGGATGAAGATTAGAGCAAACACAAATTAGCAAGAAAAAAATTAAACAAGGCATCCGTGATGTCACCTTAAGCATTTTTTTTGACCATATGAAATCAAAATTGATTATTTTGTTTCTTGATGTTGCACTTTTTTTTTTTTTTTCAAAGAGAATTTGAAAGCATAGGCTTTCATCAACATCGATCTTTCTGCCGAAAGAGGCACCGAACCCCCAACTGCTCCCCGGGCGCTGCAGCATAAATGGCTGCCCACTGCTCCGGGTGTGTGTTCACGGTGTGTGTGCTCTTAGGATGGGTTAAACGCAGAGCACTAATTCCTAGTATGGGTAACCATACTTGGCCACATGTCACGTCACTTTCACTTTGATATTTTGAAATCACGGCCACACTCAACTTAAAAATGATTTAAAATCTTAGAAAAACTCTAAGCCCATTAAAACAGGAAAAGGCAAGAAAGCTGATATGAATGTAATTGTTCGCTAATGCGTGGTATTGTTCATTCATATGCATATACACACACTAATTAGGGCTGGGCGATATGGACAAAAAAATAAAATAATAACATTTTTCATATCAGTCAATATCGATACTTATCATGATAAATTTCAAATCTTTGTTTCTTTCAAGTTTAAAGCCAGATTTTTTTGCTCCTAAGTGAAAGCTGTAGTAACCAGACCATTAATTGTGGTTTAAAAGTAGTGTTTATAGTTAGAACATGACAAACACGTCACGTTTTTGAATTCTTTACACTTTTCCAGTCATTTTTCATTAACAAAGTAAATATCTTAATAGAAAAATGTATTTCTTAGTTTCTGCATGTTATAATGAGTGATATTGTTTCAAATCATGAAACAGGTTTGTGTTGCCTGACTTTGATGTGTTTCTTCAGCACAGTTTGCAGTGCAGGCTGCATTATTAATATTACATTTTCTTGTCTCTTAGATATGCACATTTGACAGTAGCTTGAGTTAGGATGCAGATGTAAATTTATGTTCATTATCAAAAACAGTAACATCTGTAAAAATTGTAACAGCCTCATTTTTATATGGTGAAATTTAATTATTCTGACCATTCGATTCAATTCGATATGAATATCCCACATTTCTGCCACAATACCATGGTGCAGTTAAGTGTTACTACAGTAAATCCATGGTAAATGATGGCGATTTGTAGATTGAAAAGCCTTCTGACTGTATTGTTGCACACAGTGTTTGTTCTGTTTGTCAGCACTGTTTCATCAGGCTTTAAACTAGTTTAAATCACCAAGTCTTTTGTGTTTTTTGCTGAATTCAAGTGCTTCTCACTGGATCTCACAGTGCTGTGTAGTGCTAGCGTGACTGAGACTTATCAACCAGTAAACACATCTACTCTAAGCTCGCACTGCGCTGCTGTTTGTAATTTGAGCCGAGCGGATAAATGGTCCATGTGGCGCGGTTCAAATGAGTAGTGTTGTTTTGTTCCGCTTTTAGCGCATAAACATTGTATTGAACATTTATCGAACTCTTATTATTGTTTTATCGAGGAAAATCATATTGCGATAATTATCGTTTTATCACCCAGCCCTAACACTAATGAATAATCATTTTGGATTGGTCAGGCCCGTACAATTTTTTTATGTTGGCTTTAACTAACTGGTGACACAGAGAGAAGAATGGAGCGAATTCTGGCTGAAGGACAAAGCCGGAACCAACAGCTCCAGGACCAGCTGGTTCAGCAGCTTGTCCAGACACTGAACAACAGTCTCTGCAATCGGCTAGACAAAGTTTTGCGTGAAGAAATGAAGAAGACCGTCCCACAGTGTGAGTGCTGATGTTCTGAACACAAGAGCTCAACTGTACTTTTTTCTTGTAGCATTCAATATTACAAAGAACATCCTGCTCTTGTTTTCTGACTGAAATAGTTGGAGCAAAGACTTTTATTGATTTAAGTTTTATGTGGAACTTTAGGTGACCTTTTGTTTTGTTATGCAGCCATATCGAAGAGTCTAGAACCTGTGACCAGCCAGATGAGCTGCACCATTGCTGCCAAGTTAACCGCAGTGGAAGTAACACTGAAGGAAAATGTCACCAAAGTTGTTAAATCCAAGGTCAGTGGCTTAAAGTTTGAGAATCAACACTTTTAAATAGTTTTTTTTTTTTTAGTATCCAAACTTGACACTTATGACATTATTTTTACAAAGGAGTTAAAAACATTTCTGTCTGGAAAGAATGTTTCTCTGAAAGACATACTACAAACTGAGCAGTTCAAAAGAAGTGCACCAACTTCTATGCACCAATGTAGCACTGAATAATTCATTGTGGAACACGGAACAGGCACAAACTGGGGAAAACTCATAACTCTTCTAACTTTTTGTCCTATTCTTCCGTTCACAGAACACTACGGATGCCATCGGTCGTGCTGCTGCTGAGGCCATGCAGGGCCCCATCCAGTCAGCCTACAAAGAGACCTTCCAGAGCATCGTGCTGCCCGTGTTTGAGAGAGGCTGCCAGTCCATGTTTCAGCAAATCAATGACAGCTTCAAACAGGGAACCCACGAGTGTAAGAATTATCCCATCTGACTTTTTGTTTTGCTTGTTTATGGTAATGAAAATAAGTAGAGCATATGAATGAATCTAGCAGATTGTTGAATGCTCTTAAGCCTGTTTGCACATCTTGCATTTGTAATGCAAGCTAATTAAAAAAAACTCTTTTGCTTTAAGCAGTGTTGTAATGTGTTGCTGTAACTAAATATCTAATGACTTCACATTCTCCCGCAGACATCCAACAGCTGGAGACACACATTAAGAACAGGAAACAGCGGGACCAGGATGCACGGGATCCTGTGATTGGCCAGCTGCAACAGATGATTGACACGCTCCAGAATTCTCAAGACCAGCTGGCCACCACTGTGACGGCCAGCGTGTGCTCTGACGTTCAGCATCAGCTCCACATGATCGTGGGAAAGTAAGGCCACACGGATGCAGCACAAAGCTCATCCAATATTTGTCAGAAATCAATATAAGGAAAGGAAAGTTTATTCTCTTTCCTCTTGTATGTCTTCCCTTATGGAAAACTTTATTGCATGAATAGAGGAAGCGATTGATTTAAGAGTTCATGCAGAGAAAGCATTTTTTGGAGCTCTGCATTGAGTACCTTGCAAATTGATTGGCAGGTGTGGCACCCAGCCTAATCCTGGGTTTAATTTCTGTCAATAAAGCTGGTTTGTTTCCCTCCCACACAATTGCAATATAGAGTATGTAGTATTAAATTCAGGATTAAATCCCTGTGGCATTTGAAACCAAAATGGAGCTAAATATTGTTTGTTACACTGAGATTTACATTGCAGTGCTGTAGTTCCAATTAATTCAAATTTAGTCTAAACCAATACTCTTAAAAGCTTATATAGGTTTTTAAACACTATAGCTTGTGTTTTAACGTGGTCTTCGTCAATGGAATCTTCGTCGATAAATTACAAACAAAAAACAACAATGAGATTTAACCGTAATTAATACCCATTTTAGTGTTATAGTTAGGCCTGTCGCGATAATTAAATAACCGTCTAAATTACGATTATTTAATCTAACCGCGGTTGTCTGAAACAATTATTGTGATTGATTATTGTGCTTTTCAAGGGGGAGTCATACACCAAAAGAAACAGAAGAGCACCAGTTTGGTTTTCATGCACTGTATAGCCTATACCATCTGAAGCCAATCCATATCTTAACGTGAGGGACAGAATTATATTTATTGTTAAATTTAAGTTTACAGAAATTGATCTTCCTTCTGCTGCAGCTGTCAGTCATTCTCCGCTCAGCATTCAAACAGCACGTCACGTTCAGTTATGACAATCAGCACGGTAAAACTCTCTCTCCAAGATGATATATTCCCATTATAATACTTGATGTGTAGATAAAGGTCTGGAGATTCGCATAAAATTACATCTTGCTGGAGTTCATTGCGCTCTCATTTCTGTTTTCTTTGTACCGTGTGGAGTGCAGCGCGCTGTAACTTATGTTGCTTCAAGCACATCATTCTGCACCCTAGATGTGCGTAAGAGCTTTGTGCCGCTCTGTTTGAAGCGTTTCACGTTATCAAATTTTTGCACACAGAAAGATTATTAGAAGCCTTTCTTTTTCTCATGATTTCTATCTTATTTTCATGAATGTATTTTGTAAGAATACAAATAGTTAACAGAATAAACATGTTTAAATTGTATAATGTGCACCAAAGATTTTTTTTCAAGATATTGTTTTTGCTGCTAAATTATACAGTCAGCTAGTTTAATTTCATAGCGTATATATTTTTATTCAAATGTAGTTTTTCTCTGTAATGAAGAAGTGAGTATTTAGTGGATTATGTTTAACAAAGGGTTTAAAAAAGAGTGACCATTAGTTCCACAAACACAGTATTGATATTCTGTAGTGGTGTAGAAAAAAATAGCGCTGGTGTTGGACATGGCTACATTGGCCGATTCTTAGAATTTGGAATACTCTGTAATCTTACACTGCAAAATAATAACTCAAAAAAGATTAAACGATAACATAATTATTTACTGAACCCTTAAATTAATCACTATTATATAATGAAAGCCATAAAAAAAACAGACAATTAATTGTGATAATCTGCATAATCGTCATAATCGACAAAGCCCTAAAACAGACAATCGCAATAACCGTGACTATTTGTAGACAATTAATCGTCAGCCAAATTTCATAATCGTGACAGCCCTAGTTATAGTGATATTTGCCCATTTTTTTAAATTATTGCCATCTGCTACATTTTACTGTTTGGCCAATAAGTGTCGGAAGCTGGACATTATTTTTAAGGTGCTGAAAATCCCAGAACACAGACACACGGGAGCTCCCATTCTACATCTTAAGTTACTGTCTTTGTGTATATCATTTCTGTCTAATAATTTATTACGCAAAACCGTTAAAGAAAGTAAATTCTATCTGTCTAAAAAGTATGTGTTTGCTTTTCTGTTATTAATAATAGAAAGGCAAACACTAACACTTTCTAATATAACTTTGTCGCATTCAGCAAATTTGTATTTATATAATTAAAACATCTTTGAATATGTAATTTATTGACAAGAAAAGTGTCACTTATAGTTTTTATTTCCTTTTTAGTCATGTTTGTAGCTTTAGTAGGATATTGTAAACTATAGTTGGGTTACAGAATTTTTTCATCAATTTAAAATGATTTTTCTTATTTATTATTTTTCAAATGATTTCAAATTGAGTAATTATCCTGCAATGAAATTGATATTTTTTACATGTTATTTTCTCTTTTTAGATAATGTGATATCATGTATATCAGCTCTATGTTGGCCATCAAAAAAATCCATATTGGTTGACCACTACCTATTTTTATTCCACAGCGGTATTCAATGATGACAAATATGTTATTAAATACACTCCATTAGTTTGTTAATTTTGCAGGAAGTATCTTGTCTTATAATAAAATTTATGTAGACTAAAGCTGTCTGTCCTATCTGCAGTCTGCAGGACTCAATCCTGACGCAGGTACAGCGCATAGTGAAGGGAGAGGTGAGTCTGGCCATGAAGGAGCAGCAGGCAGCTGTCACCTCCAGCATCATGCAGGCCATGCGCTCGGCCGCAGGAACACCTGTACCCTCTGCACATCTGGACTACCAGGCCCAGCAGGCCAGCATACTGCAGTTACTACAGCAGGGCCAGCTCAATGAGGCCTTCCAGCTGGTTGGTTACTGATGGCTACACACACACATATATGTCATATTTCTCAAGTCAGCCTAATGTTTTTAGGTCTTTAAATGGTTATTAGGGGAGTATTGATTAGATAAACTTCTGTCAATAGGTCTTTTAACACACTTTTACAAGTGTTAAACCACATTATTTAATCATTAAAATGTATATAACTGTAATTAAAATGCAAAAAACATCAATATATGAGCTAAAATTAATTAATTATTTGTATTGAAAAACATCAGAATCTTATAAAATCACAAAATAAATGTATTATATTAACTTAAATGTATTATATTAAAGGGGTCATATGATGCGATTTCAAGTTTTCCTTTCTCTTTGGAGTGTTACAAGCTGTTCGTGAATAGATAAGATCCCTGAAGTTGCAAAGACTAAAGTCTCAAAACCAAAGAGATATTCTTTATCAAAGTTAAGACTCTGCCACACCGCCCTAAAACGGCTCGTTCTAATGCGCCCCCACATATCTAGGTCACTACAACATATTCTGTTACACCAAATACACAAAATAATGATCTTTAAAAAAAGCATCATATGACCCCTTTAACATTGTATAACCACACAACGGTTTACATTTTGTGTAACAGACAGCATTTATGGGAATGTGTACAAAACTTCTTCACAAAAACTTCTTTACAAAGTCTTCTCCATTGAGGAATCAGTAGCATCTATGTCTGTAGAGATTTAAGTTAAAGGCACAATATGTAATTTTCGCCGCTACAGGGCGCATATTCAAAATAAACAAATAGACAAAGGTGTAGTTTGATGAAGCAGTGACTGAGTGTGGAATCATGGGAGTTGTGGTCTTCATCCCCACAGCCGATGCAATCCGACGGGACTCG